TGACCCTCTCCTCTCTCATGCTGTTTCTCTCTCGCTCGCTCTCTAATAAATAAATAAAATCTAAAAAAAAACAAACAAAATCTCTAAATCCTAAAATCTGAAAACCAAAATAGCTCTGTTAGAAGTTATCTTCCCTAAAGATTACCCAATGCATTGTTTTGCATGGACAACAACAAAAATCTTTAAACCACGTGTGTGTCTGTGTGTCCATCCATCCAGACTGTCCAAAAACCACCCAGAAATGCTGCCACCACTGGAAATAGCAGCTTGGGGCAGCAGTCAGCTGTTCCTGTAAGGCGGCAATTCTCAAGTTTTCAAACTTTTTGGTCACAGACTCCTTTTACAACTCTTAAGCTTTATTGAGGAACCCAAAGATCTTTTGCTTATATGGATTATATCTGCCAATATTTACTGCATTGGAATTATAACTGGGATAAATTTTTAAATGTTTATGTATTTGAGTAACAAGAAATCTATTACATGTTAACATAAATAATTTTTTTTTTTTAAAGATTTTATTTATTTGACAGAGAGACACAGCGAGAGAGGGAACACAAGCAGGGGGAGTGGGAGAGGGAGAAGCAGGCTTCCCGCGGAGCAGGGAGCCCGATGTGGGGCTTGATCCCAGGACTCAGGGATCATGACCTGAGCTGAAGGCAGACGCTCAACGACTGAGCCACCCAGGTGCCCCTAACATAAATAATTTTTTAAAACTGTTCTCCAAAACAAAAAATTTAGTGACACTAATCTCACTGTTTTACATTTTTGCAAATCTTTTTAATTATGGCTTTATCAAAGACCGCTGTATTCCTCTATCTGCTTCTGCATTCAATCCCTTTGACAAGTTGTTCTGGTAGACACATATGAAGAAAACCTGGCATCACACCATCCTAACTGGAAGAGTATTTCAATAGCCTTTTCAAATAATTGTGGATATTCTTCTATACTACACCAAAACTCCACAAGTGTTTTATTAAAGATTAGTTACAGTATCAAAGCTGAAACCACATCAATAAACCCCTTATACTGCTGCATTAAAATCCATTGGTCTAGGGGCGCTTTGCAGGTGGAGCCTGTGACTCTTGATCTCAGGGTTATGGGTTCGAGCCCCATGTTGGGTGTACAGATTACTTAAAAATAAAATCTTAAAAAAAAATCCACTGATCAACACTGCACTTTGAATGTACCTTTTACCGATGTATGATTTTTATTACATCAAAATTAAGCTTATCTTCCAAACGTTGACACATTACAAAATGTATTTTTTTTAAAAAATGGTATCATTAATATCACTACCAATCTTATCAGAAACATTTTTTAACTACTAGGAAGCTGTCAAGCTTACAATGACAGAAACAAGCCTTCCAAAATTCTAGTTTTTATCTTCAAATTTATCATTTGGCCACCAATGCTGTCAGCTGTTTTCCTTAAAGAGACAGGCTCACGGGCGCCTGGGTGGCTCAGTTGGTTAAGCGACTGCCTTCGGCTCAGGTCATGATCCTGGAGTCCCTGGATTGAGTCCCGCATCGGGCTCCCTGCTCGGCAGGGAGCCTGCTTCTGCCTCTGACCCTCCCCCCTCTCATGTGCTCTCTCTTTCTCATTCTCTCTGTCTCAAATAAATAAATAAAATCTTTAAAAAAAAAAAAGAGACAGGCTCACTTCATTTTCAGGAAAATAATGGTCCAAGTGTCAATACCCACGGTTCATCATTTGTTTTTTCAGATAAAAGAGCTCTACGAGAAAAACACTAGTTTAGCTCACAAATCAATCAGACATGTGCTTTTCTCAAAACAACCATGCTACTTTTTAGTATACCACTTTATGTGTACTTCCCACTTTATCATGGCTTATGTAAGACATAAATTCGAGAGTCAGGATTTATTAAAATTAATGTGTTTTACTGTTTCATCAAGAACTTTTTAAACTGTGTGTTATGCTTGTGATGAAGAAATATATGACTACTCGTAAAATATGGTGCCTCTGCCTCAATTTTTCCTAAGGCAAGAACAGCATTATCCACTACTGATTTCACACCATCATGCAAATGTCCACAGAGTAAAAAAGAAATAACATTTCAGCACTATTATGAAATAGTTTGAATTTTATGTACTCCTTAGAGATCCCAGGGGTTCCACAGATCACAATGTGATCTGGTACCCATTACAACCCACCAAGAGGCCCCAGTTCTACCTGCTATGAATGACTTCATGAAACTTTTTTTTTTTCTGACAGCCCCAAATATTTGGGAGAAAAGCTACTGTCTCCCCCAAGTCTTGCTAAATATCTCTTCCAGTAACTTTTAACAACATTCTATGAATGTGGTATGAACACTAGGTCACTAATGATGGTTACTCTCCTCAAAATCTTTTCATTACACTTGTGATAGCCAGAACTGAGCAGATGCAAATAATGGATCTGTCCAGCACAGAGTAGGGCAGAAAGCAGAACACAGTTCCCAGAAACGCGTTATACTCTATCAGTGCAGTGATTCTCAACAAGGAGAATCTTGCCAGGTTACATCTGGCAACATCTGGAGACATTTTGTCACTACTGGAGAGATGGGGGGTGGGGCTCCTGAAATCTAGTAGGTAAAGGCCAAGGATGCTGTTAAACACCTTACAACACACGAGCAGCCCCCTTCAAAGAATTATCTGACCCTAAATGTCAACAGTACCTACCAGAGAAACCCTGTATTAATGGATCCTAAAAACTACCAATATTTTTGGAAGCTTGATCACCATGGCTCTTAAATCATACCAGCCTTTCAAAATTATACATATATTACATGAGTTTTAGACAAAATATGAACACTTGTTCACAATGTTGTAATGACTTAAACTTCAATAACCTATTTTGATTTAACCCATTCTGACAGCTCAACTACGGCCTATGCCACAATCCCACCCACCCAAATTTAACAGGACAGCATACTAAAGTGCAAGTGGAAATCAAGCACGATAAGCCTGGGAATCACAATTCAAAACTTCAAAGAAACAAAATGAAAGGCAATTGTGACACCAGAATATGAAAAACAAAAAGAAAGCCAATCAATGAGGAAATAGGCCTATTTAACTAGGCAGTCTGGTCTTTTTGTTGTTGACTTAAAATATAGTACACTTAGGGTTAAAAATGAGAGGGATATAATGAAAAACTGGGCATATTGTTCACAGTTCAAAAAACACACTGGAAAGCCAATTATCCAAAACTCTGTCTTCCATTTTATATATTTGAACTTCCAAGAAAATTTATGCTCTCAGGTCTTTAAAGAAAATGTACACCTCCCTTCCTCAAAGAAGGCTGGGAAAAAGTAGGTATAAAAGTATTTTTATTTTCTAGACAAAAAGATACAATTATGTTATTTCTAATTAAAACCTCTTAGATTGTTCATTTCCTATCACTGATCAAATTTTAATACTGACATGATTATCACAAAGTTGCTTTTCAAGCACAGCAACAATATGTGAGCTAACACAAAGAAGTCACATGGCATCACTAAAACATTTAATTGCTGCTGAACTGAAAAATGCCCCAAAAATCAATGCTTCTAGTGTCTCTACCATTTCATAAAAGGATGAATAAATCAATTAACAGGGATCTTGCAGATTCTAAGATTGTAGGTCTGCATATTTAATTAAAACTAGGAAATATTCTCATTTACAGAAATTTGCTGATAGGTCTCTTAAAAATGACAGAAGTGGGTGAGGAGGAGCATGAAATTTTTTTCAAAAATACTGTGTAAAAAGCAATAGGTATCTTAAAGCCTGTGTCAAAGTTAGAGCCTCACCTGTAAAGAGACACACACACATACACATAGGTAACTGTAATCAGTAGTATTTGCGAAAAAGAAACTGTCTTTACTTAAAAAAAAAAAAAAAGATAAACCTGAGGTGCTGTATTAGGTGTCTAGAAATCACAAAACCTTTATTTTGCACCTAAGTAAAACTCCCAGTGTCAATAATTACATAGTTCGTTTGGGGCCTTCAAAGAAGAAAATTCGGTCCCCCGTCTCAAAGGAGCACTATTACACTAGAATGTTCAAAAAAATGGAAGAAATGCAGTCTCACTATTTAGGCCTCTACACTGCTGGATACACGCAGAAAAAAAAGCTGTAATCTACTTTCGATCCCAACAATGAGTTCTCAGATTACATCTCATTCTTTGGAACAGACAGAATAGAAAAACTTTTTAAAAACGCTACAAGAGAAAGAAAGTATAAGACGCAGACCTAGGGAAGAAGGCAAGAATGGACTAGCTTTAAGTCTATAATCAGAAAAATTAAAAGTACCACTGGAGATGGAGGCAGAAGGAAGCAGAATGCATCCGACTATCGTATCAAAACAGAACAGACAGAGCAATACCTAACACAACGCGTTGCGAAGGACACCCTGGCAAGTGTCCCTTTGCTGACGGTGGGAAGCCTGGGGAGGACTGGTTCAAGCGAGGAAGCGGGGCTCGACGCTCAAAACTGGGCTTTTAGCTGGTGCTCGTGCAAGCTCAGAGGTGGAAGTGGGTTAACTCTGCCGCACGATTTGGGCAGCTTGGAACGGGAGGGAGAGAGGAACGCAGCAGAGGTAGACCAGGAAGAGAAGCATCGAAATGATCCGGGGAAACGCCGAGAGTGAACCTGAACGCTGTGTGCAGACCCCGCAACCAGCGGGGCCTTCCTTCCCCGCCGCCGGGCATTGTTTTTTCTCTTTTTTTTTTTTTTTTCCGGACGGGGCGGAGAAACGGGAGCACTAAGGTTCAGGTTCCCCTGGCCGTTCCGGAAGGGGAGGCCCCCGGCCCGACGGCCGCGGAGCCAGGAAGGGGTGGGGGGAAGCGGGAACCGAGCACAAGGGGAAGTGCGGCGGCGAGCGGGTGAGGAAACAGGAAGAGCCCCGTTCCCGCCTGCCTCCCCCACGGGGCGAGGGCCCGGCTCTCGCGCCACCCCCTCCCCCCCTCCCCCGACGCCCCCAAGGCCCCGCCGGCGTGCGAGAGAAAACAGAATACAAATCACTTACAACGGCATCGTCTCCTGCGCCGGCACCGCCCAGTCACTTCCCCCCCGCAACCGCCGCCGCTGCCGCCCTGGGCATGATCCACTGAGGCGGGAGGGAGGGGGGGGCCTGCCTCAGCCCTGGGTCCAACCCCACTCCCGCACCGCTCCCGCCGCTTTAAGCGCTTCTCCTCCTTCCCCTTCGTCCTAACATGGCGCCCGAGCGCTACCACAGCAACGTTCTAGAACTGCTGACGCCGCCACGCACGCCGTGCGCGCGCCTGCGCAAAGGCCGCCCGGCCCGCGCAGCCTCACGGGAATGGTAGTTCTTGAGGCGGCCGGCGGTCCGGCAATTTCCGCCCCAAAGCCGTCGCGCTTCCGCGGTGGGTGTCAGGTGTCGGCTAGGAAAGGTGCGAGAGGCTCCGGGCGGCTGGCTGTTCCTCGAGCGGGGACGCTCCTGTCGCCGGTGAGCACCACGCGGCACCTCACAATGCGCCGCCGCTCTCGCCGCCCGAGGTTGCGGCGGCCGCACTTCCCCTTGAACGGCGTCCGGGCGGCGCTCGGCGGGGACCGAGGCGCCCATGCGTGCCGGGTGTGCCGCCCGACGCGGGGCTTAGGACGCGGCCGCTCTGGTCGGTGCCTTCGGTGGCCAGAAGTTACTCGGCCTCTTCCTGCTGTTCTGCGAAGTGAGAGTAAGACCTGCTCCCTGGGGTCGTGTCGACTACTGTATGGGTTGGTTGATGCAGGAGTGCTTAGCACGGGCTGGTTGTTGGGACTCCTCCTCCCCTGTTAGACTGAGGTTCCCCCTCTTGGGCTTTCGGCTGACTTGTCCACCAAAGGGTGTACGCAGGCGCTCAAGAAGTGATGGTTGAATGAATAGATTTGCGGGGCAGCACTGTGATGACAGCGAGTTCTGGAACACGAGCTGATTTTACTAGCAGGTGGTGCCCTGGAACTTCCTGGTAAAGCTGCACTTACGTAGAACGATCGATGGCAGTAACCATTGGGATTTTAGCAAAGACTGTGTTTTGCAGCCCTGATCTATCCCTGGGGCGGGACCTAGGAGTGTACTCCCCACCGCCAGCAAAAGCTGGAGTCTTCGTGCTTGAGCCCGACTCTGATAATTCATTCCTTCCCTCTGTTAATTAGAACGCATTCTAAAGTGTCACACAGAAGGTTTATGGAGGGGCGGGAAGGAAATAAATACGGCAAGGATAAAGTTCTAAATTATTTAAGTAGATTAATATGGACTTGTATAGCCTCAGGAAATTTGGCAAAGGACTTACCTGTTTGCACAGAACATCTAGTAGGACAAGCGGTCTAGAACTAAAGGCTCAGTGGGAGAAGCACAGGGCCTAAACCTGCATTGTCCAGTACGATAGCCATATGTCATGTGACTTTTGAGCACACTTGAAATGAGGCTAGTCCATTTAAGATGTACTGTAAGTGCAAAATACAGATTTCAGAGATGTCAGTAGAAACAAAACAATGAGATACCTAACTGATGCGTTTGATATTCGTTATATGCTGAAATAGTATTTTGGATATATAAAAAAATTCATTAAAGTTAATTTCATCAGTCTCCTTTTAAAATGTGGCCACTAGAAAATTTTAAATTATATGCATTGCCCTCATTTCTGTTGAACAGCCCTGATTGGGAGACAGACTTGTCCTTGATTCTCAGATCTTCTACTTGTTCCCTTACCCTCTTGTCATCAAGGTGGTTTTGGTTGGGGGCCCAGTAGCAGGCCTGCCCTTAAAAGTTTGAAAATCTGAGATCCAGAGAAATCAATAAAATACATTAAGGCTGTGGTCTTAAAATTTGCTCATAAAGCTAGGCACTGATGATGTATGTTATAAATTAAAGAATGGGAACTTCTTCAGCTCATGGCTGTCCTCTGCCTGGCATCTCAAAAGGCAGTGAAGGATACATGGTCATGAAACCTCTGTGCTTTCAGTCTCCAGGTGCTCCACACCGATTTTGTTTTAGCCTTCTCTAGAATGAGGCAGCTAGATAGCACAATTAACGAATATTTATTTAGTACCTAGAATGTGCTAGATGCCATATTACTTTCTGAAGACAGAAGGAAGTATACTTGTCAGAATCAAAGTAGACTTCCCAAGGTGACTTTAGAAATGTCCTTATAGGGTGCCTGGGTGGCTCAGTTGGGTGTCTGCCTTCAGCTGAGGTTGTGATCCCAGGGTCCAGGGTCCTGGAATCAAGTCCCGCATCAAGCTCCCTGCTCAGTGGGGAGCGTACTTCTCCCTCTTCTCCCCACTCATGCTCTCTGTTGCTCTCTCTGTCTCAGTCTCTCAAATAGATAAATAAAAGCTTTAAAAAAAATAAGGATAGAAATGTCCTGATGTCAAATCTCTATGTTATATACCTGCAGCTAATGTAACACTCTGTGTCAACTACAAATCAATAAAAAACAAATTGTTTTTTTTTTTATTTTTAAAGATTTTATGTATTTATTAGAGAGCACAAGCAGGGGGAGCAGCAGAGGGAGAGGGAGAAGCAGGCTCCCCGCTGAACAGGGAGCCTGATGCAGAGCTCGATCCCAGAACCCTGGGATCATGACCTGAGCTGGAGGCAGACACTTAACCAACTGAGCCACCCAGGCGCTCCCCCCAAAAAAAAATTTTAATAAAAAAAGCTTAACAATTAAAAAAAAATACGCTGACAAAAAAGTTAGGACTTAGTAAGGGGACAGGAGGAGAAGGGCATAACAGGAAACAACTTTTCAAAAAGAAGGAAAGTACAAATAATTTAAAGTTTATTTGGAGACAGGGAGACTTTTGAAGTAACTAGACCACAGATATGTGGTGGAAATGAAACTGCAGAGGAGTGGGAGGCGGACAGTGAGGGGCCTTTGTCCAGCAGAATGTTGTGCACCTGCTAGGCACAATCACTGTGCTAAAGCTGGGAGGTTGCTCTCCACTACGAAAAATAGTCAAGATCCCTGACCCAGTTAGACTTTATGTTCCTGGGAAGTGGGGGGCAAATAATAAACCCATAAACAGACAAGGGAATTCAGAACCATGAATGAAATAAACCAGGTAATAGAATTACGGGGGGAGGTCAACTTTAGGTGAGATGGCCAAACAAGGCCTCCTTTCGAAGGACCGGCCTTCGAGACCTGGAGCCATTGAAAGATTCAGATTTTATCTTTTTTGTGAATGGGGGAACCATCGAAAGTTTGACAGCAGTGATAAGATCACATCTGCGTGTCCGGGAAGATTAGTCAAAGGGTAGGGAATGAATTTGAGCTGGGAGAGCTTTTGAAGCTGGAAGGTAGGTTAGCTTTTGCTGTGGTTCAGGTAAGAGATGATGACACTTGAAATAAAGAAGAAAGGGACTGATTTCAGAGAGATTTAGGAGATGTAGTTAATCCTGAATGTGAGAGAGGAGGGAGAGGAAGAAGACAAGATTTCAAAGGTTCTAGGGAGGGCGACAGAGTGGAGGGAGCTACCAGTAAATAGGAAACAGAAGGATAACTAACTGGCTGAGGGGATGAGGTCATGAGAGTCATTTGGTATGGGTTCTTTGAAGTGCCTGTGGGACCTTTAGAAATGCCTGTCGGGCGCCTGGGTGGCTCAGTTGGTTAAGCGACTGCCTTCAGCTCAGGTCATGATCCTGGAGTCCCGGGATCGAGTCCCGCATCGGGCTCCCTGCTCGGCAGGGAGTCTGCTTCTCCCTCTGACCCTCCTCCCTCTCATGCTCTCTGTCTCTCATTCTGTCTCAAATAAATAAATAAAATCTTTAAAAAAAAAAGAAATGCCTATCAGGTGATAGAAAACATGTTTCAGGAGCTGAGAAGTCAGCTCCTGAAGATAGAGTTTTGGGGTTTTTTTTTAAGATTTTATTTATTTGTCAGAGAGAGAGCAGGAGCACAAGTAGGGGGAGGAGCAGGGAGAGGGAGAAGCAGGCTCCCCACTGAGCAAGGAGCCCAATGGTGGAACTCAATCCCAGGACCCTGGGATCATGACCTGAGCCAAAGGCAGAAGCTTAACTGACTGAGCCACCCAGGTGTCCCTGGAGATAGGGATTTTAAAACTCTGAAAGCAAGATTTGTATCTTGGAGTCATGTTTCAGTTCAGCACAGAAGGAAAGGCCCTCCATACACTCGGTAACTACAATCTAATCCAACCCAAACTTCACGAGTGCGTAATGAGCTAGGTGTTCACGTATCCCCAACGTTTAGCATCCACTTAAGGATATAAGTTGAGCCAAGGAAAGTGGAGCATGAGATAAAGCCAGTGACCAGTGAGTGTACTGGTTAAGACAGGATCCCTTTTGTTAGCCTTGCCTTGCTTGTCCTCAGAGCCCAGCCCACTCCCTCCAGCTGCAGCCCCATCCGCGAAGCCCTTGTCCTACTACAGTGCCTGTGTGCTACTGACTGTGGACATGGGGGAAGACATTTCCTACTGGTATCTTAAGGATCATTCAGACTGCATTTTCCACAGAACAATGTCGTAAGTAGGGGGAAAAATTCCTAAGCTGGTTCTCATAGGTACACAGTGCATTTAAATTTAAGAAATGGACAGAAATGTTTTTCAGAACAGATCCTTTTCACATATTGGAACTAGCTTAGATTGTGCTTCAGTGTCTTTTAGGAGGTGATAATTGGAGATACTATGTTGCTATAGAGATTTTTATCCCAATAATAAACTACATGATTCATTTGGCGACTAATGATGCATACGTTTTAAAATTTTTTAACCAACATGAGAGACTTAAATATAGAGAACAAACAGGGTTGATGGAGGGGAGGTGGGCGGGGATGCGCTAAATGGATGATGGAGATTAAGGAGGGCACTTGTGTTGAGCGCTGGGTGTTACGTGTAAGTGATGAATCACTAAATTCTCCTAAAACTAATATTACACTGTATGTTAACTAACTAGAATTTAAATAAAAATTTGGAAAAAAATTTCTTAGCCAAGATTAACCAGATTTATGTGTCCCTCAAGTAAAAACAGTAGCATATGCACTTTCATCTAATGAGTACTGTACCCTTGAGCTATCTTTTCTTTAAATTCTTTTAAATTCTCTTTAGATGTTTATTAGTTTATGTTTTAAAGAATGTGTCTACTAGGGTTGCCTGGGTGGCTCAGTCGGTTAAGCGTCTGCCTTCAGCTCAGGTCATGATTTCAGGTTCCTGGGATCAAGCCCCACATCGGGCTCTCCACTCAGTGGGGAGTCTGCTCCTCCCTCTGTGTTCTCCCCCCACCTCTCAAATAAGT